TCTCCCCGCGGTCGAGAGCCGCCGCCGCCCCTGCCCCTGCCCCCTCGCCACCGAAAGCATTCGGGTTTGGGGCCGGCCCCTCCGTAGTCCGCCCTCAAGGACGTGGAGATACTGTACGTTGCTAAGAATGGAGTGACTCTGACCATGCGGAGAGCGCCTTCACCCAGATAACTCCCTACCTCTACGAATACTATGGCTTTTGGAAACGAGGCCGTGGTGGGCTTGAGATCTGGCTCCTCTGGTCTCAGGCTAGAAATCTAAGCGGCCTTTCCAAGATGGGGAGAAAAAGAGGCTCTGGCTCAGCTCAGCTCCAAACATGCCGCCTACGGAGGCTGGCTCTGTCTTCTCCCCCACCCCTCTTGCATATTTGACGTCGGCTGCAGTGTGAAAGGTGCACACTGACTTGAGAATCCCCCTTTACTCAGTGAAAGCAATGCGTGCATTCAACTCAAGAGACGAAGATCAGGCCCTTAAGAACGCGTGTAAAACCGAAGACGGTTCACGCGTGGGAACATCTATGTGAGCGGCCACGTGGAATGCAACTGAAGGGGCCCCGCCTTCCCATGATCGGCGTTTGCAGGAGAGCTTTTTGCACTTAAAACCCGAGAAGTACTGTACTGTATTGGCTTGGTTAAATCGGGTGGGGCTCCCCAAGGAAGTGTGGTATTAGGGTGGCAGTTGCCAAACGGAGCAATCTTGCTGCAGGCAGCGGTTATCTCCAGGCGGGTCACGATTATTCTCACTTCGAATATATAGAAAGAAATTGAAGCAGACTCGCCTGAGGCCATCTCGGAAGGGCCGGTTCACGCCGTTCATTAACAGCATCACAGATACTGTACCACAAACGGGAGCAGCACCGTTCTTTCTGAACAGCGCAAGCTGGTGCAAATGGCTGGATTTCACTAAAGAAACGTGCAGATTCCTTGACAGCCACACTTCAGAGTTTTTGCTAGGAAACTCAAAAACAATGGAAGGCAAGAACCTGTCATCTTAACCAAATCTTGACAAGATCACACATGTCTGGCATTACTTTTCACTTACCAGTCCTAAAGCCTGGGGAATTTACTGTTTCAAACCCCAGCCCTGACTTTTCCACATTCTGATCTGACCAGTCCTGGCCCCCATTCATTCTGCCCCTGTATCAGAAAACTCTTGTGCTGTGGCTTAAAGTAATTAATGGTTATGCCATGGCTGCTTCAAAGAACAATGGGACATTCCAGCACTCATTGCTCCTTTCTCACCACTGGAAAGCCCTCCTAGTATATTCAGATTGCTTCAGGTCGAGCACCCCATTAGGCGTCATCAGGTGCTTGAGCAGGCTGATAAACAACTCCAGTTGCTAAACTCGAGGGAGAAATGCCTCCAGTGCTTCAGTTCAAGCTACACTGCCTTAGGCCAGCCTGACCAAACCAGGCAGCCTCCAGATGGAAGTCTTGTCATTCCCAGCTGACACGGCCAAGGGCTGTTTTGGCTGGAAATGGTAATTGTTGCAATCCAGCACATCCAGAGCCCCCCCCCCCAAACGGGTCAGGAAAGGCAGCCTTGGAATAGTCCCTTTAATGGCTTCTCTCAGCCTTCCAGCTTCTACGCTGAGGAGGCCCAGGTCCAAGCTGCCTTTCCCCACTTCACTCTTCTTCCCCAGCCAGCATTCCATCTGGACCCCTTCTACCTGAGTTCATATTGTGTTAAGAAGCTGGAAGATGCAAAGTTCTCAGTATGCACATAGATATATGGAAAAGTGTACCTTGGTGTTTTAGAGCATTTCCCATCAGATTGCAATTGCTGTGTTGTAAGACCATAATATGACTGACTGGACAGTTCAATGAGATAGGCAGAGCTTGATTCAGCACTGTCTTTCCCAGGATTAAAGCCAGCCTGTACAACCTTAGGCAAGCTGCTCCTCAACTTAGAAATGCTGGAAATTATTTAATAAGAATAACTGCATGCTGCCAAGTAAATTTTAACTTATGGCAACCCTATCCAGAATTGTCTAGGTATAGTGTACTCTGAAATGGTTGTCAGTCCCTTCTTCTGGGGGCATTCTATGTAGCTGGACCTAGACTACACAGGCTGGATTTTTCCATGAGAGGTGCAGGGAGAATTGAATTCCCAACCTCTTGGCTTTACAGCCAAGTATCGGACTCACTGTGCTGCCCTAACCCTGGCCTGACTTTGTGTTGGCACAGTAATTGTGAGTCTGGGCTGAGAGAGGTTTGGAGCTGGCATACCTTTTCTCCTCCCTTTCGTTCTCTCATATTGGCTTTTATGCTGGCTGATCTCAGCCAGCATAGCAGTTATGCCAGCAGCTGTGGGATCAGCCAGTACAAGAGGTTGTGCCAACACAAGGGCAGTTGTGCTGGCACAAGATTTCCGCTCATTCCAAACCCACTACAGCTGGCGTGTCATTGAGTTTAAATGCAGTGTCTCCCGTACCCAGGAGGTGATTAGCATAAATCTTATCAAAGATGCTGACACCACTTCACAAAACCTTGCAGTGGCAGACTCCCTTCTTTTCCATCCTGTGGGATTTCCTCCCTTTAGTTAACAACACAATTCTAGAAATTTTATCATAATTCCAATTTCCTTATGGAGCTCTTGCATCCAAGTATTCCATCTGCAACCAAATTCACAAGCTGAGAATTGGATGCATTTGTATTAGTGTTCCTTGTGTTCAGTTTCTCTCTCTCTCTCTCTCTCTCTCTTTCCCCCTCTCTTGCCCTCCTTTGTAAAATGTAAGCATAAGAAGAACAGCAGGAGTCTTGAATTATTTCAGAGGATTTTTTCTTTTAAAAAAATACTATAAAGTTATAAAAAGAAAAGAGGCTTTGAATCGGGCCCAGGGATAGAGTTCTCAGACTGTTGGCTCCTTCTGCAGAATGCAGGCACTTGCTGTTAATGCGCTTTTGACTGTAAAAAGAAGAGAGAACAGGGTGTCAGTGCAGAAGATGACGCTTCATGTAGCACCATTCACAGAAAAGGGGGACAATTACAGTCCGTACAGTAACCAGCTTTTCTCTGAAAGTACAAAAGAATATATACAGTCATGTTTGTTACTTAACACAGAAGATGTTTACATGGCAACTTTCTATTCACCTGAAACAGACTTTTGTGTATCAGGGAAAGGATGTTGTGGGTCTACAGCTTCTGTCATCCCTCACCACTGATTATGATGGCTGTAGGTGGTGGAAGATGCAGTCCAACAACATCTGCAGGACCAATATTCCCAATACAGTATGTTGTACAAGGCTGCACAGCACCAAGGGTGTATGCATGTAAACTGTAGTTACATTCCTTAACCCCTCCCCCCAAGCCACTGAACAAAAAATAAATAAATGGACCCATCTCATGATAAGGAGTGCTGCTCTTTGGAGGTGCATGCCGAGGGAGGCCCAGAAAGAAAAACCGCTCCCCCCCCCCAAGATTCATCTGGCCCTCTCGCTGGGCATTTTCAAAACCAATTCAAGACCTGCTTGTATAGACAGGCCTTCCCTGCGGACACTACGTAATTCTCTCTCTTTATCTTTATTCTGTTTTGTGTTAATGTCGGAAACCGTTATTTTAATTGTTTTTATTACATGGTATGTCAGCCGCCCAGAGTAGACTGTGTCTAAATGGGCGGCATATAAGCTCAATCAACCAATCAATCAATCAATCAATCAATCAACCAACCAACCAACCAACCAACAAGAGCAGAATCCCTTCATAAAATCCTAAAGTGGCATATAAATGATCCACCCAACTACAGGAACATTTGAAAGACTACAATCATGTGTGAATGGCATCAATAGGTCTTTGTGCCCAGTCAAGTCCACATGTCTAAAGACAAAACACCCCAGATTCCAGGAGCTGGGAAGTGAAGACTATCCCAGTGTATACTCTAGCATTTCTCTTCCATATTGATAGCAGGTGGCTTTTTCAAGACAACCATCCTGAAGCAACCTTTAAACCCTTGATTATTTGGAAATCACAGATCTATTCCCTCTTCTTGGGACAGTAACCAATTTGAATATAAGGGCAAGAAAAGCAATATACACATATATCCTACTTAGATGAGGATTCCTACATTTGTGGAGTTGGACAGGACCTTCTAGCTATACCATGTGATGATTCTACAAAATAAATCCATTCAAAAAAGAGTGACAAGACAGAAGATTTAAAACTCAAATACATTAGTCTTTTGCACATATATCAGAGCTGAGAAGCCAACAACCTGTGGGATAGATCTGGGCCACAGGCAACAAACCCTCTCTGTTGTGGCTTTGCTCTGCCTGTGTGCGTGACTCTGGGTTCTCTGTCACGACTTGAACTTAATGCAATCACTGTGCAGAGAAGGAAGAGAGCAGCACAGAGGGAAGCAGATTCACATGCCCGTGCGCCCAGCTTAGCAGGAACCTTGGCCACAGGGCATCTCTATCTCTGCCACTAGCTTCTCCTAGTTCTCAGAAGCCCTCCTGTATCTTGATGTGGTTTACTGTGATTACTACCTTATAGTTCTTGGCTGGGACCACTCTCCCAGGCTTGGAACTGATCTGAAGAGGGTCACACATTTCCAAAAGTACTCAATTCCATTCATTTATTTTCAGAAAAGCTCCTCCAGCCAGACCACCCAGAAATAAAAAGTGAAGAGAGAGGAATGGAGGTGCTGTAAAATTCAGAGGTTGGTGCAAATTCTGATGGAGGCAACATTTCAGAGGTAAGCACTGAACCAAGTATTAGGAGAAAAGACATGTGTGACAAAGCAGGATAAATGTTGAACACTGATATAGAAAGGCAAGTACCATCTCCGACTTGGTAGGATTTCATAATTTGAGAGTATCAATGGAAGAGCAGGTCTTCTTCCAATAGGATAGGCCACACAGCAAGCCGTGTAAAGAATGTTGAGTGTGTATACAGAGACTCATGAACTTGAAAGTGGAAAAAACTGTTGAAAGGATCTCTCCAGGGACAGGAGGAGGGAGCAAGATAGATGATATTATCATGACAATATGAAACATAACACCCCGCCAGTTGAAGGACATGGTTGAGATTTTCATGAAACGTGTAAAATGTTCACAGAAGCAACCAACAGTGATTATGGAAGGTTTCAATGATGCTGACAATCTGCTGCAAGTCTAACATACCTAGGAATGGAGTATCCAATGAATTATTGATTTGCATGGCTGACAAATTCATCACTCAGAAAGAGAAGGAAGAAACAAGGGGATCTGTTCTCACAGGCTTCATTCTGACCAATAGGGAAGAATAGCCCGATGAAACTGAAGTGGTGGGAAGCGGCTGTGTTGTCTCCCCCCCCATCTTTTTTTTTAAACAATGAAGTATTTGAAAATTGAACATGGTGAGGTGTGTACCCTGGACTTTAAGAAAGATGATTTTAAAGAGCTCAGAGAAATGTTGGGTAGGGCCCCATGCTAGAAATTCCAAGGAAGATGAGAATTCAAGATGGATGATAGAAAAGTGAAATACAAAATAATGAAGGCACAGCAGTCAACTATTCCAAAAAAAAGAAGAAGAAATGAGGTGGGGGGGAGTGAGACATATGAAGAACACCAGAGTGACTGCAAAGGGAGTTCTCAGATATGCTGAGACCTAAAAAGGACATGTATAGGATATAGAAGGAAGAAAATATAACTAACTAAAAGTCCTACTGAATGGTCTACGACTGCAAGGTGTTGTTAGGAAACCTTAGAATGATTTGAGGTCTGTGAGGGATGCTGAAAGCAACTACGTATAATAAAAAGAAAGCTTTTTTGCCTATGTAGAGCAAGAATTTGAAGTATGTATGTATGTATGTATGTATGTATGGATGGATGGATGGATGGATGGATGGATGGATGGATGGATGGATGGATGGATGGATGGATTGTATTTATACCCCGCCTATCTAGTCATTTCGACCACTCTAAGTAAGGAGGTTTCAGTTAGCTAGCTGCCTGGGGAAAAGAGTGAAGTATGAGCAAGTTGTAGAGCAAAGTGGAACAACCCAGCTTTTATTTTGCCTCAGTTGTCTTCAACAAAGGGAATTCTGTTTGACCTGAGAAAAGCAGAACAAATGAAGGATCTGTAACCCAGCATGAGTAAGAGGATGGTTCAAGAAGACCTACATGAGTGCCAAGGCCAGAGTTCTAGCTTCAGTCCTATGCTATTCAACAATTTTATAAATGACGTCCATGAGGGCATATAGAGGACATGAAATCTACAGATGGCACAACGCTGAAGAGCTAGCAGCAGAGAAGAGGGAATGGCATTTGGAGCTAGACCAGAGACTTGGGACCTACACCTGCAACAGTGAGTCAAAACCAAGAAAAAGAAGATCAATAAAGATAAAGTTTTTACCATGTATACATGATACAGAGAGAGGCATCAATATGAGATGGGTTGGACCATGCTGAGCTGTAGTACATGAAGAGGATGTGGATATTTTAATGGATCAGAAGCCAAAGATGAGCTAGCAGTGCAGTGCTGCTGTTAAGGTAATGAATGGAATCTTATCCAGCATTAAAATAAGTGTTTTGTCCAGATCACACAAAGGTTCTATTCTATTCTCTGCTAACCAGGCAACATCTACAGCAGTGGTTCTTAACATTTGTTACTCGGATGCTTTTGAACTGCAACTCCCAGAAACCCCAGTCAGCACAGCTGGTGGTGAAGGCTTCTGGGAGTTGCAGTCCAAAACTCCTGAGTAACCCAAGGTTAAGAACCAGTGATCTACAGTACTGTGTTTAATTTTGCTGCCACATTTTCAGGAGGACACAGGCAAGCTAAAGTACTGAGAGAGCTGGAAACCAAGTACTACGAGGAAGAATTAAAGGAGATGAAGAAAAGCTTAAGAAAACACTACGACAGCAGTCTTCAAAGATGAAGAGCAGACACATGCAGGAGGGAGCAGACTTCTCTCTGGTTACAGAGGGCAGAAACTGCAGCACTCTAGTGGTATTTTTGACAATGGAACAGGCTACCTTAGCGGAGCAGAGGGCCTTCCTTCCCGGGAGGAAGAGAGACTTACAGACTGCCAATTATCTGACAAGGATACCTAATACACTGCAGAGCCTACACTGAGCAATGGGTTGGATTAGATGACCTCTCAGTTACCTTCCACTTCTCTGATTCTATTGATAAGGATTCACACTTGAGAGCCAAGACTGACAACTCCAAATCAGGCCTTCAAAAAGTTATTTTTCATTGGAAGGATTCCAGGAGCTACAGTCCAGAAAAGTAAGGTTTCCAATCCCTGCCCCAAATCAATGCAGGTAAGGTTAACCTAAGAAACAACTGTCAACTTTAATTTCATGCCAACTACATTCTGTCTGGCCTGTAGTAACACAGCTCTAGAAGTGACAATTTCTTCTTGCTATGTTTGGCATTTGGTCAGGTCAGACTGAATTCATAAAAACTGAGGAATGTTTTCTTGACTGTGCCTTGATACTAAATCTTCAAGGCATCTGGTATTATTGAAAGCATGATTTCTAAAATAACTTCTTTTATTTGATAAAGAATCACTCTTCTACACAAGAAAAAGAGGCAACAGGTAATTCAGGTTTGGGGAACCTTTAGCTCTCTGGATGTTTTTGACAGGGCCAAATTCCCACCTATATTAAACAACAGCAATGGCTGTCAGCTATACATACTGTTATTACCATAACAGGGCACAACTGTCTTTTCTGTGCAGCAGTTAACTGGGAATAGTTGCCTTTTTCTTTTTTACTGCTAGGCAACAAAGGGATATTTTAAATAGTCATCATCACACATTGCTGTTCACATTTTCTCTCCTCTGCTATCTGCAAGCAGAGTGATCATCCTAAACTCGCAATGATAAAAGGAGTGCCACAAGATTTTTAATGCCATCAACTTAATCTCAACCAGTTCTTTGCCAAACAACTAGTCAGATTCTGCTTTACCTCCCTCCATTTCAAGAAGGGACTTGTGAAATCTCAATGATATTGGAAACAAAAATATGGTATAGAATAAATCTCAGATTTGCTTTGAATATACTTCATCTGGTCTCCTTGCAACTATTCCATTTACAGGGATTTGTGCAACCCAATCTCTTAAAGCAGAACATAACTACAGTATGTCCAAAATAATTAACACTTGTTTCAGCACTGCTACTCTGCCTTTAAAAAGAGCTGTTTACCAGGGTTGTCATCCTTCCTCCTGCTGAGGATTTGTGCCTCACAGCAGCTTGATGGGAAGATATTCAGTAGTAAATATTCTTCCATCACTGTACCTCTGTGTTAGGGAAAAAAAGATGATCTTATCGGCACTGTATCTTTGCTAAGAAAAAAGGATGGATCCCTAGTACAGCCTAACTGTTCTTTTGAGAATAATGAAGCAGACGAAAATGCAGAGACTGGCTTATATGTTATTTCTCTTTTTTCATGCCTCTGAATGTGCAGGAATGGAAACGTTCAGTAAAGTTCAAAAGCTTGCTTTTAGCATTTTAAGCATTAGCTAGCCCACTAAAACAATCAATGCACTTAACCCTACAAATTGTTTTAAAAGGCACATAGAAAGCTTGTAGTCTAAGGCTCCGATATGATGTATAACTGTCCACCAATAAAATACTTTTAATTAACCATTTTACTTTTCAGCGATTGCTGATTCAATTAAATTGAATAGGTTTCAAAACTGAAAGAGCAAAATTGCCATTTTAAAAATAAAATGAAAGTAGCATAAGGTAAGAGTTCAGACAGCAGTTACAAGCACTGAATATAATTTAATAAACCAAAGCAAACATTTATTCTTAAGAAAGCCTACCCTTGGCATTTTTCACTTCCCTGTGAGAACAAGAACTACAATAGCCTTAAATACCCCACCACATATGTCCTTAGCTCTCAAACCCACACCTGATCATTGACCTCATTAACCAAATAAGCACTTGTTTGACTGATCACCTGAATACAGTTTATTTATTTTTAAAAGGCATGCAGTTTTACACACTGTGACTAGTGAGTGATGAAATCATATTTTTTGTTCCTGTTGTTGCATTACTTTGCACACATGCCCCCAAAGCAAGCATGCCTCCAACCAAAATACCTATTATTACTAAATATAATTTTAAATGGTAATCTAGCCAATAGCTGTGTCCACTGGTTAAAAAGCTTATGGAAAATAAAAGCTAGTTAGACTTCTCTTTTCTCTTGCACAGTTTTAAATGTTGTCTCTTGTCCCAAACCTCCCATAAAGGATTCAACAGAGGGAATGGTGTTACACATCTTGTTTTGAATGTATTGGCTTCTTTGGCGTAATAGGAGACATTACAGACAGCAAATTATGAAGTGGCCCGCCTTGCAGCAGGAAAGATTAGAATGCAGTCTCCATAGTGCCAGCCTGTCAGTGGAGGAAAAGAGCAGCCGACACATTTCTCTGAAGGTGGGAGGAAAAGGTTACACACACACACACACACACACACACACACACAGATAGCATGAATATAAGACAACAATATTACCTTCATTGTGTTCTGCTTCTCCTCAAAACCCAAGGAGACAACCGGCTTCTTCCTTCGGACAGAGCCCCTCAAATCAGATGAAGAGGAGGAAGGCAAGGACGATGGGGAGTGCTTGGCCTTCACTGGCCTGCAGTAAGTGGCTGTGTTCTTGCGCCTCTTGGCCTCCTCATCAGAGATGCAGCTGGCTGGCAATGCCTTGGGCCCATTTAGTGAGGAGCCCCGGTTCTCCAGTTGTGAGGCTTTGACTGGTACATGGCTGGAAGCCCTGCAGTCCAGATGGCTGACCTTCTTGATTCTGGCACCTGCCGAGACAGTTCCATTCAGGGAAAGAGCAGAGGAGGGAATCACAGATGGCTTGGCCTTGGTGGGGGGGTGGGAGATCTGGCAGCCAGCTGCCTTACTCTTGCCCAGTTCCAGGAAGCAAGTCTGTTTGTAGGGTGGGCTAGTGGGAGCAGAGGGAGATTGCTTGCGCTTCCGGGCCAAGACCTCTGGTTCCACGTTGCCAGCTGTCTCCTTGGCTTTAGAAGATTTGCTGGCCTTCGTCAAAGGCAACTTGCTGAAGGATGGTGACGGGGTATGGGCCGGGAGTGGGGAGGTGATGGACTGGCTCCCCCCAATGCAGTCTGACTGGCTACAGGCAGCTGCAGCATGAGGCGAGCCCACTGCATAGTTCGAACTGTGGTGGCTGCGACTGTCCCGGGAGGCTAGTGTGGCTGAAGCTGCACCAGACACAGAGGTCCGCCCTGGAAGGCTGTGGGGGAAGCTGCAAACCAGAGAGGAGCTGCAACTCGGGGAGGTGCTGGAAGTGGAGAAGCCCAGAAGCACAGCAGATGGTGCGGAGAGAATCTGGTGATCAGCAGCTGGAGGGATCCTTCTGGTTGGGCCAATGAAAAAATGGGAACAATTAGAACTTGGATCCTACTTCTTGATTTGTTTTAAGCTTAGGTTTCCCAGGATCCTACCCACACCACACAGGCTCTCAGATTTTTCCCAGATTTTAGAAATTACATGGCACCCCTCTATCCCCACACCCTTCAGATCCCAAGTTCTTCTCTTTCCTCCTGTTTTACTGTCAAATTCCAAAGGCCTTCATAAACACAAAGACTTGCAAATCATCAGCCTCCTCCCAACCTTTTCTTCCCCTCACTCAGCCCCTGGTGTTCATTTTCCCTTTGTTCAGATACCCGTTCCTGTTCATAAAGGATGTACCACCAAAACCCTGTAGCTCAGTGCCACCTACTGGAGAGAGTGGGGCTGAAAGCCCCAGAAAAATACAAGGGTTGGGTAGAGTTCAGCAACAAAATACATGCATTTTAGAAGTCAAGGCTGAGCTCCATTGTCAAAAATTTGTTTGATGAAGCACCAGAAATAAACAGAGACCACAGTCCTTCCATCAAAAACCAATTCTAATTACTCCCTCCCTTTCCAAATATCTTCATTTCAGCCATATAATTTGAGGGAGGGAATTTGTTGCTATTGTTAAAACAAGGAATAAGAAATCAGGACTTTCTAGCTTTAGATTAAAAACACTTCCTGGCCTAGTCCACGCTACCCAAAGTTCCATCAGCACATTCCTGTCTACTTCTGGAACCCCCTCTCCAGACCAAAAGGTCAACTGAAAAATTAAAATGTTTCTACTGACAGTGGTTTGCAATGATTAATGGCAAAGCTATAGAATGAGGCCCTAATTTAAATGCTCCTGTTATCTGTGCACCTAGTAAGAGCTAAAAATATTGTCTATATAGACATGTCACATTTATTGGTACTAGTTCTAAACATTGGTTTTGGTGGCAACCCTAGGTGTACTTACTTTGGAATAAATTCCACACTGATCTCAGTAAGCCTCACTTCTGAGTGAAGATGCATAAGATCTGGCTGGAAGGGCCAGTCTAGCTTCTCCCCCCACCCCCACCCCCTGGCCCTGATCTCCATGATAAATTGACCATCAACTGTTGCCAAGGATCCAGATGTCTCTTCTCCGGACACTTCACTTCTACTGAAGAGATTGCAATGGGGAAAATGCAATAAACATAAACCTTTCTAGTGCCTGAGGAAGTCTTGTGTGGAACACTGTTGCAATAATGATGAACTCACCACAAGTGACAAGTTTCACATATCTTCCACCACAACCATAACCTGACCCACCGAGTGAGTGAGTGAGTGAGTGAGTGAGTGAGTGAGTGAGTGAGTGTGTGTCTGTGTGTGTGTGTGTGTGTGTCTGTGTGTGTGTGTGTGTGTGTGTGTGTGTGTGTGTGTGTNTGTGTGTGTGTGTGTGTGTGTATAGACAAATGTGCACATGCAGACACACATGCATCTCTATATATTCTATATCCCAACCTTCTTCCAGGACTGAAACCCTCTGTTTGGATGACTGGTAGAGTCCAAAAAATGGATGTTTCCCATTTCTGAATCCATTTACCTCCCTAGACTGTAAAGGCACCATTGGAGGCCCATCTTTAGGAGCTTCCAACAGACAAGGCAACATAAGCTGCTGAAAGAATAGCCTTGCAAGTGCTGGTGCCTCATCTATGGCATTCCCTCCTCAGAGGAGTTTGCCTCGTGTCTACATTATGGCCTTTTCAGTACCAGGCCAGACACTTTCTGTTCTCCAAAGTATTTGTAAAAATGCTTGTTACTGTTTTTTACTCTGCTTTTTCCTCTTTTATTCATGCTGATAGTTTTACCATTTGTTTTATGCATATTGCTGGTGGTTTTATATTGCTTTAAGATAACCTATTTTACTATCATTCTTTCAGACATTACCAGAGAACTACAATCACTGAACAGTTTAAACACGTTAGTTAATATTACATACTTATGTATCTGTCATGTGTCAGTCCCTAAACATATATGCAGGAGGAGTGTCCAGTGACACTAACATACAGTGGTGCCTCGCAAGACGAGTGCTTCATTTTACGACGAAATCGCATAACGACGAAGTTTTTGCGATCGCAAAACGATGTTTCCTATGGGGTTTTTTCGCTTTGCGATGATCGGTTCCCTGCTTCGCCAATCGATTATCGCAAAATAATAATAA